GATAATATTATATATAAGTATGTAAAGTGTACATGTGCACCCCTGGTTTTTATATATATTTGTTGGAGAGGAAGACAGGTTTTAATGTTGCAAAAGATTTCAATTTTCCCAATAGAGTAGCTGCCTACTTAAGCTGTTAAGCATTTATTCATGTTTAACTAAACTGAACTTTATTTATAGAGAGAGTCCTTTAAAACCACCACAGCTACAACAAAGTGATGTGTACACTGTACCAGGGAAATTTAAAATGTATATAAAAAAACAAGAGTTTAGAAGAATAAAACAGATAAAATAAATAAGTTGAATTAAAACAGATAAAAACATTCAAAAGAAAACTAAAAAAAAATGCCGAAACAGAGAAAGTCTCATCCTGCGTTTAGATCCAAAGAATAAAAATAGATTTTAAGGAGGATTTTTAAAAAATAGACAATGAGGAGGATGTTCTAATGAGGAGGGGAGCTATTTCCACACTTTTTGACCAGCAATTATAAAAGCTTTGTACCCTCTGAGCTTCCGTCTGGACATCAGTATCTCCAGAAGAAGCAGGTCAGCTGACCGAGTAGGAGCCTAGGAATGGACAGACTCAGAGGGTTAGGAGGGGCTTAACTACTTAAAGACTTATAAAACAAATAAAAGAATCTTAAAGATAAACTCTGAAATGCACAACTAGCCAAAGGAGGGGCGGGCCAGGATGGAGGTTATGTGCTCCATCCTTCATTCATTCAAAAGACCAAGAAAAGAACCAGTTTCTCTCTTAACAGGTGAGCATTGATGTATTTATACTCTGCCACCACCACTCTGTCTTCCATGAAGAAAAAAATATTCCATTCCCATCTAAAATCTACAATCATCTCCTTTGTTTTGCCCAAACCCACAATGACATTTTTGTTTCCACTCCACACAGCAATTTAGTTAGATATAGGTCAGGTTCATGTCCATCTCTTATATACCCAGCTTTTTCATGTCATCCAATCATTTCTGCAGATGAAGGATCTTTGACTCATCCCATAAGTCTGAGGTGTACAAAGTAACAAGTAATGGTTGAAGTACGGCCCCTGTGCTGCTCCTATGCTGCTGACCACCTGGTTAAACACAGCCTGTTAAAACACAGTTTTTTAAATATATTTAAATTGTTTATGTGAAAATTATTACCAGCAAGTAAAACTTGAACTTCGTCTTTGTTTTTGAAAATTACAGCAACCATATTTGTTGACTAGAACCACAGCTAAAGCATCCGCCCTGTTTTTCTGTTTTTATTTTGGCAGAGAGAAGTAACAGAGAGTATTTATCTTTTTTTCTGTGGTTACTTTCACTTTCTAAACTGGGACAAGGCTGTACATGGGGATGATTATGCATCTTTACTAGCTGTCCTTGTGTAGGAAACTAATAATTCACTGTTATGCGTAAGGTGATTGCATTTATCCTTCAGATTTAAACTATTCCTTCACAGATGCACAGACACAAATCCAGCATGCTATAATACTCAGACCAAACAGTTGCAGACAAAAACATAGAAAACGATAGACTAACAATTTATGGGAAATTGAAAAAAAATAAGTCCCTATTATCCAAATGTCACAAGCTTTTTTAGATAGGCTGTCCTTGAAGTGTTCTTGTCGAGCTATTCAGGCAACATCCCTGTATGTGCCATAGACGACCAACAGTGCAGCAACATTGCGACAAAACTGAACAGTAGAGAGATCCATAGGGATTTCTACAAGCAGCCAGCACACATGTTGCATCGCCTCCCTCTGATCCCAAAATGTGTGTTCTCTCAGCCAAAGGCAAATTATCTGACCTCATCTTAAAAAGAAAACAGCAAAGAGATATCTTGAATATTTATATCATTGCGCTGCTAAGTTAAGCAACTAATAAATCATGTTATTGCTGTTTTAAGCAAGAAGAAGCTAGAAAATGTAAGTAAATGAAGATGAATCGAGGGGATACCTTAGTTATTAGACGTAATGCAATGATTATACAGAGTTAATGCTCTATCTGCACCAGACAGCACAAAGGCATTTCACTCACATTTTCAGCCTATCTCAGTGGAGCTAAAAAAAAATCGACCTTTGGTCATGCCTAAACTACCACAATGTCAGGCGTTTAAAAGAAATTTAAACTAAATATCGACATTCCGTTTGGATTAAATCTAAATTAATTTACGTTTTTGTGGTTCCTTTTAATTGAAGCTATGAAAGGTCACAGTTTAATAATGATGTATCTATTATTGCTAAATACGTTGTTGCTGAATGATGTCACCTATGCCCAAAAGATCATAGCTTTTCTACTGAAGTTTAGTTAATGTTCCATCAGTTAGTTATTGTGGTTGCATATGCAAAAATGTGCCTATAGCTTGTGAATTTCTCTTAGCCTTTACATAGAGAGATAATCTGCAAGGGAAATGGGATTTTCTGCGATGGGTAAGATATTTCCATCTCATCACTCTCGAAAGAACCTCATTAGAAAAAAAAAAACAGAATTACCCTTTTTATGTGTCATTATCACCAAGCTCAACCTGAAACACCTACTAGATGAAAGCTTGGACTTGGGAGGAAACAGCTGTCTAGCCATTAAATGTGCTTCTTTAGCCTGTGCGTGATCTATACTTGCAGTTACACCTAAAAATAGACGAGACACCTGAAGTATAGCAGGTTTGCAAACAGTGCTTCTCAGCATGCAGGGCTGTTATGTCAATTTTCACTGAGTCATAACGGCCAAAATGCAACAGGAATGTCTGAGATGATGATGCTGTGCATCTGGGGAGTCATTTAAAGCTCTTTGGCAGCGACACTAAGCCAAATCTTCACCCTCTGAAAAGTGGTGGCTTATTGACATTCAAAAGTATACTATACAGCTACAATTTCATTTTAGCAGCACACATAAAAGAATGAATTGAACAATTAAGTCTGACTATTTGGTTTTCCTCTTCTTTATCCAGGCCCCCCAGCTCGGCACTCTGATGGGCGTCTACATGCCCTGCATCCAGAACATTTTCGGAGTGATCCTGTTCCTCAGGATGACCTGGTTGGTGGGAATTGGAGGAGTCATTGGGACCTTTATCATCGTCTTCATGTGCTGTGCCACTGTGAGTTTTCCGGCTACTTTTACTTTAAAACCTCGTATGTCTCAGTTCGCAGGATATTATGCACTGTAAAAAATGTAAATTAGTTTCTTCCAACAGGCAATAAAGACTCAGAAGCTAGTTGGCAGAATATGCTATCAAAATTTACTGTAGGAATTTATTGAAGTGTCATTAGTTGCCTCAGTTGGCATTACTATCCCTTTAATTCAAACATGCTGTGAACCAGTGAGCATACATGAAGAATGTGGGGTTTAGCATGTTTCTTTTGAATCAGTATTGACTCTGCATAAACAATCCTAGCTGTGTTTTATCCTAATGTATAACATATAAAACTACTGAGCAGAAATCATTTTAATGTTTTAAAAGGTTAAACTCAAGTCTCCGTTTATTGGATGCCTTGTAAGAAAGAGATTAATTGTTATTTTACAGATTTGACATTTTATAATAAGGGATCAGGTTGTTTTAGACCATATTGTTGATTTTCATTATGATGGAAAGCCAGTTGCTGCTAGTTTCTTTGAACAACTACTGCTAATCTGCTTTCCTGTATAGGTTTCTACGTGATAGACAATTTTATGCATTAATTATGTTTGCGACTGTTCAAAACATCAGTAAGAAAAAAGCATCAACCTATCCATTATTGAAGTAAGCAAAACAGTTTTAAAAGCGTATGATTTATATCAAATCATTACCTGTATAGATGCTGTTTGATGATATTTGCAGCTGTAAAAATGGTCCTCACGGTCAAGTGTGAAATAAAAATGTTCACTACAGCTTTGAAGAAACTGGATGGTAAACTGTTCATAATTTTTTTTTTTTTTTAGTAGGAGCCGATTGTAAAAGCCAAAAAAAGCTTTTAAATGCTTAACTGAATTCAACAATCCCCAAATACAGTAAAAAAAAAAAAAGCTTATTAGAAGCAAAGAATTACATATTTTAAATGTAGCTGCAGTAAAACAAATCCATTATTGCAACAACAGCTACATTTTGCCTTTAAAAGAAATTTAATGTTGCAGAAAATTCTACTGACAGTCTCTCCCAGGTGCCAGTGCCACACATCCAGCCTCGAAAAAACAAGAAAACTGATAATGAAACGCCTGGATGTTCTTTTATTCCTATCACTGTTACTGTCACTGGGAATTTGGACCTTCCACTCACCTTCAGACACCAGTTACAACTTAGTGCCGGAGCATGAAAAGTGCTTCTGTCAGTTATCTGTGCAACCATTATTGCCATTACAGTTGCCATTATTGGAGTATTACAGTACTGTAACTTTTTAATCAAAAGTGTGGGACCGTGATCAGAAGTCACTCTTGCTATTTGAACACAGCATAAATATACTAAGTTTTATTAAACACTTATTTTTTATTTTGTTAAGAATAATCCATTGCTTGTCTTTTTGCATCTTATAAGTACATATATGGTAAAGATGTATAAAACGCCTTATAATATTATTTTCTTCTGTTGGAAGATTTTACTGAAAACATAACCTTTCTGACCAACCTGAACGCATTTTTCCTGCCAAAGAAAAAAAATGTGAGACTCAATTTCTTTCACGCACTCTTAAAAAATCCAGTAAGACAGCAATAATTGCCAACTCAAGAAACACATAGGCTGGAAATTCAGAAAAATTTTAAATGTTTGCTAGAAAAAAATAACTAATTTGTTCTTTAAAAGGAATATCAGGAAAAATATTTTTTCTCCAGAGTCGCACATACTAAAAGTCCTTTATTCGTTTGCTTAAAGCCAACTGACTAAAACAAGAATCCTAGGTCGTAGTTTTACCTTGGTCAGGTAAATCTAACCTCTTACACTTTTCTGCAACCAGCACTTCAGATGGGTATTATGGGGAAAAATAATGACCTACGTAAATGAAAGCAACTCGATCCCATTGTTGTACATTAGGCTGGAATACTCTCATTTCTCCAAAAGGAAAATATGAAGCTCAAAAGAAAGACAATATTGAACAGCGTGAAAGGCTGGTTAAACCTCAGACTGACAAGAAGCCAGCAAACACACTTCATTTTCTATCCTCACACTTTAACATCATAGAGTCCCTCTGTGTACACATGATTGCCTGATTAAAGCCTCAAATACTTACTCTTCCTCTCTTTTCAGTCTCATGCACACACACAGCTCTTATCAGTCACACCAAGCTCAGAGCTGAGCCCCAGGGCGATAAGCCTGAGCGTGAACAGTGCATGAGAACCCCCCACCTCTCTTCTCCTGAGCTTATTACATAACACATAACCACCAAGACCTCCAGGGGTTTCCAGCCACATGATGAAGGGATACATGCGTGTGCAGCGATTCCCACCTGATTGAAAGCCACAGGACTTGTGTTAAGGAATCATGGATGCAGTAAGAGTCCATGTTTTATTCAGTGACGGGGTATTTCTGACAGCACGCTTTTCATTAGCTGCTCAGTCACAGCTGCACATATCTGTTACTGAACACATACGCGTCCTAATTTCTGCTGTCAAGCAGCCTTTTGACAGATTATTAATGAGGCACAACACTTTTTTCCAGGAAATCTTTATTAAATGAGAAGTGTGCCTTCATGCGGAACTGCTCTGACATCGTTAACCATGAAATTATATGCAAAAGTCAACATAGTGCAGCATTCTGCAAACCACTGTGTTCAAAATCTGCTGAGTTTTTATCGGGTTTATTGAATTCAAGGCTTGTCAGAAAGATAAATTAACGTTCCATCCTCCGGCTGTAAACCCGACCGTTGGTTAGCATTTCTCATTACTCCCAGGTCATTAATCCAAATGCTGCGAGGGGAAGGGTCTCCAACCTCCTGCTATGAGTCATTTAAAAATGTTAAGGATGCTTTTGTAGTTTTCACTCCATTCTCTCTCTATTCCTTGGTTTCTCTGTGGTCTTTTATTATTCACTTCTATTATTTTCCTTCTGCACTTCAGTTCTATGGTCACCTCTGAGTCCCTCCGTTCTTTGTTTCCATTTATCATCCATTCAGCTCTTGAACTGTCTGAGTTGTATCCAGCACATTAGTCTAATAATGATAATCCTCTGCATCAGCTTTATTTGACACGCTTGGCTTTTTCTTTAAACCTTTCACTGACACTTCCACTGATGGAAACCACAATGACACGTGGTGTAGAGTAAAGGAGTACTCCCCATTAGGTCTGTTCTATGTATTTCAGAACCCATAACAAGTTAAGAAACAAATAATTCATTATCAGTTACATTCAGTTTATTTATATTGCGCCAATTCACAACACATGTTATCTCAAGGCACTTTACAGAGACAATTCAACCAGATCATTCAGTGAGATTGGTTCAAAGTTTTCTTTCTAAGTTTTCAAATGATTATTTGATTAAATAAGGGTAACCAAACAAATGGTTACCACTACTGAATTATGAATTAACTATAAAAGGCATCTTTTGTTTTTGTTCATTAGCCACAAAATCAAGAAATCAAATACTAGAACCCATGTGACAGCTTGAAGTAAGCTAAAATATCTCAAAGAGTAACACATGATACTCCTATCTATAGAAATTAGGGCTGCAACTAACGATTATTTTAAAAATCGATGAATCGGCCGATTATTTTTTCGATTTATCGATGAATCGNCCAACTTTATCACTGTCTGTAACCTACTAACACGGTAAGGAAAGCATCAGATGAGCTACCTGAGAAACTAACGTTACGTTTCCCCACTTTAAAACCAAACAAACATGGTTACTCATCCTGCTGATCAGCTCTGTTCACTGCCATTGAAGGCTCCAACCTGTTTTCTTTTCAGGTGCTGCGTCATAACAGTGGTCCTTCCGTGCCATGTTTATTTGTTTTTACAAAAGTTGCATGTTACGACTTTTTTCGCTTTACGTTTGCGGTATCGATCATTAGAACAGTTGACTTTACTGCCTTTTGAAAACAGCCTTTGCTCACCTGTGGCGCTGGCTAGCTCTGCAGTATTTTTTTTTCTTCCCCCGTTTCAATCAAGTGGCAGTGATGACGGCGGCGGATGACGCATTAATCGCGTGACACAACTAATCGATGATGAAATTCGTTGCCAACGCTTTTAAGAGTCGATTATTATCGATTTTATCGATTTGTTGTTGCAGCCCTAATAGAAATATACATATATAAATATATATATTTCTGAACTTTTGTAACTCCATTAGATATTATTGATAGCTAAACATGAAACAGTGGTGAACCTTCACACTAGTGTTGAAAGTATTTCAAGAGTCCACCGATGATTTTTCCAGGACATTACAAAAGAATCAAAGGCCAAATATGCTGAAAGTGCTGCTGATCTTAGTCACCTCAGTTAAAGCCATTTTTCATGGTTTTGCAACAAGAGAAAATTAAGTAAAACAGCATGCACAGAGGCGAAAATGAATGTAAAGAGATTCCTAAAATTTCCCCAAAAGAATTCCCAAAGGTCCCGAAGACTTTAGGGAAAACATTTTGTGGATTGCTCAGATTGAAGCATACCGTGAAGAGCAGCCATATCAGGTCACGTTGCCACCTGCTCCACCCAAAACACATGTACCAATGTAACAAATCCTAGCCGGTGTTCTGTGGGATCGCAGGGATAGTTAGAACCCCGCCTCCAAAGCTGCCTCTTCTTTCCTTCCTATAGCTGGAGTCACACATTGAATGGGCTCTAAAGCATAAGCAATGTGATTTAGATGCTTCAGTGTCCTTTCAGCTTCGTCCTCCATCATAACAAATGTCCCGAATGAAAAAGGACCTGAATGCAGAGATCAGGAGGCAGAGATTTGCAGATTTAATTAGATTCGATAACAAAATCCAAACACAAAATACAAAGAACCAAAAATCAGCAAACATCAGGGAAAAACTCACGTGGGGAGCAAGAGATGAAGAGGCAACAAAACAACAAACCAGCACTGAGTGACTGCAAGCTGGTGTATATAAGGGAAACAGGACAAAGGATGGGCTACTGAGCAGAATATGGAGCAGGTGTGAGTGGAAGCAACTAGAAGGAAGCTGAGGGGGCAACAGA